TTGTTGTTGATCAAACAAGCAAAAACGATCTACATTATGGAACAGAAACATGATTTTTTAGAGCGGTGTAACTGATAAAAAGATTTGAAAATAATTGTTCACTCCATACATTCTCTGCGAATGATCATCCACCATGTGATAATATTTCGACAATCTTGCAATTTTTAGCATTCGTTTAATCATTCTTAAATACGTTGCATATTATTTTTCCGGATCTTCTTTGCGATCACTGTAGCATTAGACATTATTATGTATTATTTCACATAAACACGATTACCAAAATAGAGCCATTAGATTTTATATCAAATAGATTGTAGATCAACATTGTGTAACCAATATCATATGATATCATGTAAACATCGTATGATTCGACCAATCAAAATTAGCAATTCTTGTACCACCTGGGAAAAACATATAGCACTTCGATTATATGTGAAGTTAAAATTTTTTAAAGCAATGCATATTGCGCAACTTCACTATCATAAACAAACTTTTTTAAACTATATATCGTATATATTTGATACATATTAATTACGATTTTAAAAAGTTTTATCAGAGCATTTTTTTAATAATCCAATATACCACGTAGATCATATGAAAAATGATCCAATATGAAGGGATTATTTAACTGTTAATGTGAGATGGATGATGCTGAAATTTGGTGTCTTGATTTGAAAATATGAGCCCTATTAAAATCCATATTTACTCTTATACCCTTTTATTATAAACTCTAACCTTAACTTCTAACTTAACTCTAAACAAATAAGTTCAAATTTCAGCATCATCAGATAATAATGCGTTAAATAAATTACCAATTTTATATACGCAACTATATTAGATTCAAATCAGATTATTTTTGTTTAAAAAAAAATGCAAAGCGAAAAATTTGTGTTGCCTAACTATTCTAATATTTTCTAAATCAGATTTATATTTATCTGTTTCTGGTGGATTAGTCTAGCAACTAAAATTTAGCAAATCGGTCAAAATTTAGGATCGGAGTGCATCAGAGCTAGCTGGCATTAAGCAATAATATCTGAACAATTTTATTTAGTACATGAGCTACTGGTTTATTAGTAAAATTTGAAGCAACTGTAGGCAAAATTAATCAATTTCAGCCTACTCCAACTCAACTTTGGTCGATCTACAAATTTTGGTTGCATACTAATCTATTCGTTCCTGGTTTAGCGTGATAATGCCATTCAGTACTTATGTTTTAATACGTAGTACTGTGTTTGAAACTTACCGAGCTTCAATATTTTTAGTAAAAAGTTATACGTATCTGCGTTTGATTGCTTAGGTGTCTAAATTTGATTGCTCAGATGTCCAAATTTGATTGCTCCGGTGTTCCAAATTGGTATGCAAAACCAGGGATATGTCCAATTTGTTTCGGTTTTTTATGGACATATATCTGTCGTGCATCAGATTAAAATTTAAATGCGGAGTTTTTTAGGGTAAGGATGGGGCGCCTATGTTGGGCATTAGCGGAACTATAATGATCTGATGCAGAGTTTAATTTGACGCACATGTCCAAAAAAAATTGACATTGTGACGTGCCATCCCTGTGCAAAACCGATAATACCTCCTATGTACTTTTTTTTCATTATTCTTTGTAGTTTTATGTTTGATATTATAGATTTAAATAGGACCCCAGACTTCAGCATAAGCCACCGTGCTCACACGTATCATAAAGCACGTGGAAGATCCATTTAAATCAATATTTTTAACGTAGGAAGGATTCTTGGTATGATATAAAAATTACACATTAACCAAGAATATTACTTTTTTGTGTCTATATTTGTACAAAAAGGTGTACGTACGTACGTACATTAGCCTTTGGAGACCATTCGACCTGATCGACATCACCTGGGTGACAATTTATTATTCGTATATCTGTAAATAACAAAATGCTAACGTTGATAAACTAATCCCCGGTCACTATTACCCTGACCATATGTGAATAAGCGGAAACGATGTTTCCGCTAATTCCCAACGGATCAGGATATTATTATTATTTATTAATTTAAAAACCCCCAAACGATTTCTTTCGACAAACAGGTTAATTACATTAGTTGTTTATTTGATGGTTATTATAATAATGAAGATTATTTATTTTTTAAATTTATTATTATTAGTTTTTACGTTAAACAAATATTTACTGATCCATGCTAGAGAAGCATTAGCAGAATTATGGGAAGTAGAAGATAGTGAATTACTTAAGTTTTTGGCTATTGAAGAGAAATTGGTCCTAGCGGATAAAGCCTTACAAGCATTACTAGCAGATTATAAAACAAGTTTCGGCGGAACATATATAGATATAAAAAAAAATTCTGTATATGTCAATACAGTGAACAGGTCAGCAGTTCATAAAATAATAAATTCGAAAGAATTAACCCATACTGGATACTTAAAGTATATAGAATTTATACCAGCAAAAAATTCTATGGCTGATTTAGAACACCGCTTTATTGGAATACGTGATCTAGCTTATGCACTTATACCTAAACTTAAACCACATGATGTTCAGGTCTATATTGATATGAAGCTTAATGATGTAGTAATACGTCATCTGGAAAAGTATAGATATCAAAATTACCAGTTTATAAACGACGCTAAAGAAAATTATAAGCCGAAGTTTGTTGAACTGAATCACTTTAGTGTTTTCCCACATCCTAGATGTAAAGACGAAGAAACATCAACATCACAAGTTCGAATTTTAAATAGAAACCCGATAAAACCCAAGAACTCAAATGGAGATGGTATACAAAATATAGCTCTTGAAGGCTCTTGTTCATTGGGATTTCCAGCAAGAAGTAAAAAAAATGAAAACCTGACTTACTATGTAACTGCTGGACATTGTGCTGATAAAAATTTGCGACGTAATGGTACTAAACAAGAATTTTATCATTTTCTGTGGGATACTAATAAAACACTGCACGAATCACTTGGAGAAATGGTAGAAGCTGATTACATAGACCTATTCGATTTTCTTTTGATCAATACAACAAATAGGAATGTTGGACAATCAATGATTATAAGAAATTCCGATTCTAAAAATTATCCAGAGCTAGAAATTGCGGGAGGTTATAAGGTAACTAGTCATGGTGCTCATTTATGTAAATCTGGTGCGTCATCGCATGTTACTTGCGGATATGTAAAAGGTATAGGCGGATTTGCAACAACCGAACAAGATGATATTATGGAGGTTATAGAGGAACGTATTTTTTATGGTAAAGACTCTTATCAAATATCATGTGCTGGTGATAGTGGAGGTCCTGTGTTTTATTATTTGCGAAGTTTATTAAATGTGGGTCTAGCTGGCATACACGTTTCAAGAATTGCGGATTTTTCAGAATCTACACCTTTAAATATAATTCTCAGGGAAGGTGAAATAAAGCTCATTAAACCTCATTAGACTTGATGAAGCATTATATTTCATTAATGAATAAACAAGGGATCTATCTGTTAGGTATTATATAAACATTGATGTTAAGGAATATGATATAGCATCAGCAAGTACATTTTTACATAGATCTATGTAAAATTTTTATGTAAAGTTATGTAAAATTTTTATTGAATCTTATAAAAACATATAAATCTAATGTGGAATTTTTTTCAGTTTATAGAGACCTCTATGGTCTCGTAGATCATTATTTTATTATGTATTAACAATCCTACTTTACGTTAGTGATCCGAATCATTTAGTTGAAAATCAACTATATAGTTGACAATTTTTTAACTATATAGTCGATTTAGAAAAATTTAAAACAAGTTCAATTCCGAAATATCCGTTTAATCGGGCTAATCCGTGTTTATTACTCAGTTTGATTGGCTAATTGGCAAATTTAGTCACCTGATATGAAAAATCGATTAGTTGGTACGTAACTAATCGATTGGCAAATTTTTACTAACTAGGAACACTACTTTACGTAGAAAGGTTATTACATTTTGCATATCAACGAGGCTACATCATTCAGGGATTGACGTATGTTATTATCAACATATGAGCTAATTCGGGACATGCATAAAGTCTAGACTTAATGCCCTAAAAATTGTTTAATGATGGAACAGGTTGTTTGACATTGTATTGCTATATTGTCTTACTAAATAGTATATAGCGATAGAACTAGACGGTATCTGTTATGTCTGGTATGTACGTACGTACGTCCGTGCAAACAATACTAGATATGTCAAATTACATGACTCAATAGAATTTAGACTCTTGGGTTTTGGGTGGGACTCTTGGGTTTGACGCATTATCTTGCATGATCTATTATATCCTTGAATTATTTAGGGTTTTAGTTGAATTATTTAGGGTATTTACTCAAATTTATTGAGCAATTGTTCTATAGAGCAGGCCAATTAAAGCCAATTAAATACAGGTTCAAAATAAATCTAGTGCTTTTGTCTAGGGCCCAATGTCTCCGATTAGCTCATATGATCCACTAATAACCCGGGTTATTGACGGAATAGTTATCGGACTTATTAAAATTTTAATTATGCATTAGTAAAGTATTAGTAAAAAAAAAAATAAGTAACGTATCAGTAAAAATTAAATAAATAATAATTGAAATTCATTAAATAATGTTTTATTTTCATAAATCATTTTTTCTTTATTGATATTATGGAGCTGCAATTATATAGTTTTCTATTTTATGAATCTTTTAATAGAATATTAGAAAAACCTATTAGTTAAAAAAAAATTAATTGAAGCTTAATAGACACTAATCATTATAATGAATGTTTAAATGTATTAAAAAATCTAAACCTTCAGCATGATTCAAAACTTAAATACTGGATTAATAATACTTTTAAGATACTTCATATTGGTATAATAGAAGAACTTTATTTACTTAAATGGAATGAAAATAATTTGGAAACACAAGTTTGTACAATTGAAAATTTTTATGAAGTAATTTGTGCTGTGTATCAATCAGGTAACAGAACATAAAGGCTAAGAAAAAACTTGAAAAAAGTATTTATTTTTATTTAATTTGAATTTAAGCAATTATATAAAAATAGTATTTATATTTTTTTAAGATCTGAGTTAAAAATTATTTAAAGAAAGCCTAATTGAGATTTATATCAAGTTACTTACAAGTTTGAAATACTTGAAAACTGGTATTTTGCAAGTGAACTTGAACTATTAAGTATATTTGATTATTCTGAACTTAATATCATTTTATTAGATAAACTAATTTTATTAAGACAAGCAAGTATTAAACAAAATTCTATATTTGCAGTCCAATCTTCAAGCTCAAGACAAGTTAATTATAAATTTAATGAAAGTTTAGATACTTTACTAGAATATAAATTTAATTTTATTAATATTAGTATTTTTTTTTTTTTTTTTTGGTATTAGGGTGAGGCCTTGCTTATATCTTTATTTATAATTTTTGAAATAGCAACAATTTGAATTACTAC